CTCCTGCCCTCCCTCTCTTCCTCTACTTTTACACAAACTAGACCATATTCCCATTAATTTTCAACTTGCTTTTTTTTCCTCTCAGTGATATGTCTTTGGCATCAGTGTGTAAAGATCTACTAAATTTTTTAAAAGATTTTATTTATTTATTTGACAGAGAGAGACACAGTGAGACAGGGGAACACAGCAGGGGGAGTGGGAGAGGGAGAAGCAGGCTTCCCGCAGAGCAGGGAGCCTGATGCTGCGGGGCTCAATCCCAGGACCCTGGGATTATGACCTGAGCCGAAGGCAAATGCTTAACAACTGAGCCACCTAGGCGCCCCATGATCTACTAAATTGTTTTAATGGCCACTTGAAATCCTAATTGTTTGACTGTCTCCACATGATGGACTCTAGTTTTCCCTCCCCCTACCCCCATCCCTTTCCCTCTTTCCCTCTCTTTCTTTTGAATATTACTAAACTATCATGAGTACCCTTTCACATAACATTTTTGCACTTTCCTTGAGCTAACTGTTGGCGGAGGTCATGGAGAGGACATGACTGCTGGTTGACCTGAGAGCTGGACCCAGGCAGTTAGAGGCCCCTCACCACCTCCTCTGTCCTCGGAAGGTACATTCAGCCCACCTTTCCCATAGTGTGAGCCACTGTAGGGACATAGTCTTGGATGGCACACATGACTGAACCCCATTAAAGCCTCTATATATAAACTTTTAAGATTCTGGCAGGCAGGGGCAGAGATCTCCTTGTCCTGTGGCCACCAAAGACAAGCCTCTTACATAAATTCCCTTGCTTAGTGAACCTGTCCCCTAGCAATTTGGAGTGCTCTGCCTCTTTTCTTTGGTCTCTCCTTGCCCTCCATGCACTAGGGCCAGTTTGTGAACCAACAGTAACCCTAGCATAGGGACGCCTGGGCGGCTTAGTCCGTTAAGCGGCTGCCTTCGGCTCAGGTCATGATCCCAGGGTCCTGGGATCGAGTCCCGCATCAGGCTCCTTGCTCAGTGGGTAGCCTGCTTCTCCTTCTCCCTCTGCCTGCCGCTCCCCCGGCTCGTGCTCTCTCTCTCTGTCAAATAAATAAATAAATAAAATCTTAAAAAAACCCAAAACCCTAGCATAAATTCCTGCAAGTGGAATTACTATACCAAGAGTTACGTGCATTTAAAAAAAAGTATAAACATTGACAAGTTGTCATCCAAAATGTTTGTATCCACTTGCATTCTCGAAAGTTATTTACCCAGGGCGCCTGGGTGGCTCAGACGGTTAAGCATCTGCCTTCGGCTCAGGTCATGATCCCAGGGTCTTGGGATCGAGTCCCGCTTTGGGCTCCCTGTTCCTTGGGAGCCTGCTTCTCCCTCTGCTTCTCTCTCTCTCTCTTTCTCATGAATAAATAAATAAAATCTTTAAAAAAAAAAGTTATTTACCCAGATGCTCCCAAACACTAGGTATTATAATCTTCTTACATCTTTGCCAATCTGATACATGAAAAAAAATTTATTTTAAAATTTACCTTACTGTAATAATGACTGAAAATCCCTTTGCATGATGTTTGTACCTACTTACTACTACAATTAAAATATTCTGTCTTGTGGGTAGGGACTATTTTCTTTTCAGCACAGTAAATATCTACTGAGTGTCCATTATGTGTCTAGTTGCTTAGACTGAATTAGACTAAAAACAACATAAACAACAATAGTGCTTGGCACCAGAGAATGTGGCAAAAAATACAAACAATCAAAATGTTAATGGTAAAAGACTTTCTCATGGTATAACTGGTTTTGAGTGATACTGGTTCCTGACGAATAGCATGAATTAGCTACAAAATGTACCCATAGGTAATGAATAAATTGAAGTGTTAGCCAGAGTTATTTCATATTTTCTGCTTGAAAACTGGATAATATCAGCCCCAAGTAAAATTCGGTATTAGCCTAATTAATAACAATCTGTTCTCTCTGGAAGTACGGGAATTAGAAATCTGGCTCAGTGACTCCTTAATGTCATTACTGGTTTGTAACAGAAAACCATGAGTGTGGCATTAAGAATGACACTTTCTCATTTGCTATGGGACAAGGCAGTTATAGCAGGTGTTTGTTCTGGAGTTGAAGAAGGAGCTATGCCATAGCTCTCTTTTATGATGTAGTTTTAGGTAGAAATCTGAGCTTTCTAGAGACAGTTTCAACTCTGATCATCATATATAGATTTTATAAAAGCTTGATAACACTAAATTTATGCTAGGCTTTCACATCTTGGTTCATGGGCAAGGTGATGAGAGATGGGGGGAGAGAAAGCCACAAAAATGTACTGTGTTCCAAAATGCTTCCTAAAGTGTGTTAAGGGGTAAGCTAAAAAAGAAAAAGTATTCTGTACTCAACCAAACTCTAGGATAGTTGTTAAAAAAAAGTGAAAGAGGTTTCTTTACTGCAAGATCTGAGAGTCTTTAGTACAACAGTGTGACAGGGAGCCAGTTTTCAGTGTTACCCCAACTTATTTGTCCTGGGCTCCCTATTTCCTCTGTGAATGTATGTTGCTTTCCAGCCACCCAGGGTCTGTTTCTTGTCTTAAATCTGGTGGGGCCTTGATCAGGGGTCCCTCCCTACCCCAGCTACAATTTAGGACAACTGAAAGCTAGAATCTGCCTTGGGAGTATCACAGAGCAATAGACTCGGGTGTACCCATTGCAGCAGTGGAAGGCACTTGATTATGACGTTTTTGCCCCAACATGATCTTCTTATCACGGCTTCTGTGCCCTTGGGAATTGCTCTAACTTCTGCAGGCTTCTGAGCCTGGTTGTGTGGGCTGACTGCCCATTGATTCTTAGAATTCCTGTTATCCTTCCATCAAATTCCTTTTTGCTTAAGTTGGTTGGAGTAGTTTTTTTTTGTCACTTTGCAACCAAAGGATCCACACTTTTTATTTTTCTTTCTTTAGCTTATCTCTCACAATATCATTACATTGAAACAGGGACAATGCCTATTTATTAACAACTGAAAGCCTTACACCAATTACACTGCTTAACACATTCTGAGAGTTCAAAAAAAATTGTTGAACAAATGACTAGTATTTCAAAGAACAGATTTGGGGAAGCATTGTTTTAAGCTATTTTCTCTATGAGGAAAATGATCATATATAATGGTACTAAGCAGAGAAATAGTACCTAAAATCTACTTGCTCTTCTAGTAACAGAGTATACCAGAATACACATTTGTGTTGGGTTCTGATGGTTGTCTAGCAAACTATGGAGTCCCTTGTTTTAGAAAAATAAAAGTTTTTTAATAAAAAAATCTATACTTTAAATCAACCTTAAGGAGTCCCTTAGGGGAGAAAAATGCCCTCTCTGAACTAGATATTTTACTCTACACTTAACATGTATTTTCTTAGTCAATTCCTCAATATCTGTCAGCCAGCAATTTTTATTGAGCCCCTAATATGTGACTGGCATTGTGCTAGTGGGTCAGACTACCTATGATGTACAAGAACGACCCGTCTTGGACAGTAAGAGACCCTCACACAGATGGTGAGCTGGTGGCGTAAAGACTTTTTTCCCTATGTAAATATAGTTATATTCTTTGTTCTTTCAATTTAATTATTTTTAATAAGTACCTTTTGTTTATTCTAAACAAATAATCCAATCAATATAGATGGGTTTAAAATTTTAAATGCATTCACTTTAGTGACCAATATTTTATGAATCTTAAAGAAGTGTTTATTTATTGACAGCACTGATAGTATTTCGGGTTTAAACATGCTTTCCCATTTGATCTTCTGGTATAAAACCACACCCAATGAAAAATATCAAATTGCATATGAAAAATTCTGGAGAATAGTACTGCAACTAACGTTCACAGTTGTTATTCTTCCAGGGCTGCTAGCTAAGTAGGTCCCCAGAGTCCTAAAGTCCAAATATCAACACCATGGGAATTAAAGACTGGAATCCAGAGAGTCAGGCCCCAAGGGGTGGGGGGAGCAAACAGTCCCACAAAACCTGTGGGTCTGAAAGTGAAAAAACTGCTGAGCCATTGACTTGAGACTAACAAATATTAAGGACATCTCAAAGTAGATCAAGGCACTGTTCCTAGCCCAAGTGTAGAAGAACACAAACTTGCAAGAGACAGGACTTAACATTCTGTGAAATTCCATCTTTGTAGTAGTTTAAACCCTGAACTTCTACAAAATACAGTTTACCCCAATTTAGAGTTTCATTCTTCTTTTACCTGACGGCTTAACTCTACATCAGACCAAGATTTTCAATGCAAAAGTGGAATATGGAATATTTTTACCTATTAAAATTATCCACTTTGCTTAAGTGTGTATTGTAAGCATGTTTTACACAGGAATGACATCAATGACCCCCAACTGGCACAAGAGTGGGTCAGGCCCTGGAATTTAACGGAGGTGTTCTGGGCTGTGGTCTGTTTGCTGTGTTAATGCTGAATTAGCTGTAACCAAATACCCCTCCTCATTCTTAGGTTCAGTGCTTCCCTCCAACCTCAGAGTTACTGTGAAATCACACTCAGCACTACCATAAAGACGAAAAGGGGGCTAAGAATAGGGGCAATGTGAACTTGACAAGTCAGTAGGGTCAGGGTCACGGAAGGAGAGGGACACTGCTCTGTGGTCACAGCGTCGGTTCCCACAGGTTGCTCCCAGCCCTGGGAAGAGAGCCTGGGAGCACGCAAGTTGGGTTCCCGGGTCTCGCCCGTCGCAGCCGGGGGCGCAGCTCTGGCTGCACGCTGAGCTTGCGACCCAGCAGCCCACAGCGCAGGTGCCAAAGAGCACGAAGGGGGGCTGCGCGGAGGAGGGGGGCTTCCGGGGAGAGCGGGCGCGCGCGCTGGCTCGCCGTCGGAAGCAAGGCGGAGGGGGTGGGGGATGGAAAGCGCAGCGTGCGCGCCTCCCCGGTGGCGGGTGTGGGGGGAGGGGAGCGTGCGCGCGGGCTCGCCGACGGAGGGGGAGGGGGCGGGCGTGCGCGCGGGCTCGCCGGAGGCGGGAGGGGGCGGAGCCACTTCACGGTCTGAGCCCGCCCCAGGGTCCGCCAAGGTGCGTCTCCAGGCAGCTGGGGTCGCCTGGGGCAGAGTGAACAAGGCCGCGCCACCTGCCCTGCTGGCTGCTGCTTTTTATTTACTAGCAAACACTGTTACCCCGCGGGAGAGTCGGGGAGCGCGCGGGCACACACACACACACACTCACTGACAAACGCGCGCGCGCGCGCACACACACACACACACACACACACACACACGGACATACATGCTAGCGATCTTGTCTTCACAACCGCATCCCCAAACCGACAGTGCGAAGCTTACTGCGGTTTCTGTTAACCTCAGCATCGTGGGGAGAAGCAGAACCGTTGTGCATCAGGGAGCGCCCGGTGCCTGCGCTGCCGCCTCGGGTACATACATAACCCAGCAGACCGCTCACCCCATCGGGTAAGCCAGTCTCTCCTTGTAACCTGTTCGGGGTAGATGCCTGCGGACCGGAGGGAGGGGGTGGGAGGCTGCTGGTGCGCCATTGGGGGCGAGACCGGAGTTGAAATTTCAGGGGTATGCAGCCCGTGCAGCTCGACCAGCGTCGTCTAGCGGGAGCAATTACTACTCCAGTTACTTATTCTACCAACCCTGGAGTTGCTCCCCCGCCTTCTCCCCTTCCCCCAGCCGGAGATGTACTGTGCTCCTTGGTTGCCAAGGAGACTTGCTTAAACATCAGCCTTGGGACATTTATTGAAATAACTGGCTTTTTAAAATGATGCTGTTATTTATTTTGATTTTTAAAAATAAAATACACACTGAGGACCATGTGGTAATTTGGCAATCGTTAATACGTATTCTGGGCATGGTTTCATCCAACTTCAAGAAAAGGGGTAATGCACTTGATGGTATGCTTTAAAACGGATTCGTCAGATGAATTTTTCAACAGATTGTGTCTTGAATCATAAATTACTCCCATTTTGGTGATCTTGTAAAGAACAATGAGTCCAGTGAAAATCCCTTTTTCCCTCTATTTCCACATTATATCTTGCTGTTCACTCAGGCATGATTATCTTAACACGAAAAGTGAAAGAGGAATTAATTGTGGTTCTCCACACAAGGATGATCTGTTATAAATTGACCAGAACAGGAATACCTCAGTGAATTCCTAATGTAAGGAGATAGCACTCATGACAAAAATCTTTGCTAACATTTCTATGTCCACTGCATCATTTAAGTGCAGTTTTCTGCACCTCTGCCCATTTCTAAGAAGATTCTGTTTTCTTTCAGGTCCCTCAGTGTTTTATTTTTTTACATATATGTTTATATGTTGATAGGTATAGATGTAGAAATTGTGGTGTGGCTTATTACTTCAGATTCTAAGGTTTTGGAGCTTATATTGAAATGTTGAAAGGAAGGAGGCACAGAAAGCTTTATAGGTTCTTTTGGGTTTTTGTTTGTTTCTTTGTTTCTGTTGGGTTGGATCCTTTACTGGAGCACTGGGTGAGCCCCAAGGAGGAGGTCATTACTCCTTATCTCCCAGGTACCCCTAATGACTGGGCTGTCAGTTTTACTTTGAGCCCTCAGGTGCCTGGTGGGTGAACTGAAAACAGCACTTGAACGGATCAGCTATCCAATTTCATACCTTCATTAGGAACAGAAATGACCTAGTAAAGATCCACTGACATTCAACAGTTCATTTTCTTTTCCTTTGATATTTGTTCATCTTTTTACCTCTTATTAAAATGAGGCAAGGAAATATATCAAATTCTTTTCATTTAGATTTTAAACTGTGCCATACAGAGTGTAGTAATATGAAGAGCAAGGGAACTAGTAATAGCTGAGGCAGGTAGAGGGCATTTATGCAACTGACAGGGGGCTGGCAAATGAATAAAGATGACAAATATTTTATATTACAATTTACAGAGTACTTTTCCTACGCTTCTTTTTTTTTTTTATTCCCCACAACAACCTTGTGAGGTCAAGGAATTATCTTCATTTTAAAGCTGAGGGACCAAGACTCAGAGCTTGTGGAAGGTCACGGAGCTAGTGAATGGGGAAGCCCTTTTTGGATCCAAGTTCTTTGCCTTTAAAAAAAATCCTGTGTCTGTCTTATTTATTTATTTATTTATTTATTTTTAAAGATTTTATTTATTTATTTGACAGAGAGAGAGAGAGCACAAGTAGGCAGAGAGGCAGGCAGAGGCAGAGGGAGAAGCAGGCTCTCCACTGAGCAGGGAGCCCGATGCGGGGCTCGATCCCAGGACCCTGGGATCATGACCTGAGCCGAAGGCAGCTGCTTAACCCACTGAGCCACCCAGGCTCCCCATCCTGTGTCTGTCTTTCCAAAAACAGGTAAGATAAGGAGTGCAGCCGGCCCAGTGGGGGCCATGTGGGAGAGAGGCTGTGGATTGTGGCCTTTGGAACATACAAACCACTATAAAAAGGGCAGTTCCAACTCTACTATAGCTGATTGTTGTCACCCCGGCTCTAAAACATTCTAGTTTTTCAAGGGAAACAGAAGCTTACATATTTTTATGTGAAGGGCCCTTAATTTTATAAACTATAAGGACCACATTAAAAGTGTATTTAGGCCACATAAGGCCTGTGGCCTACCAGTTACAAGTTACTGAGTTCTCATTCAATTCGTAACTATTTTTCTCTTACATCCATCAAATACATCCATCATTATATGAGTGATTAGGAGTTTTCTGGTTTTGATATTAAAATCTAAAAAATGTGCCATATCCCTTCTTCTTCTTCTTCTTCTTTTTTTTTTTTTTACAAGAGAACAAATCTACACCTTTATTTACTTTTCATTAAATTTAAATCCTTGAGGGGTACAGCATCACATGGATTCTGTGGCCAATGGCTTTAGCAGGAAGGTTGCTTCGGAATTTGGCACGAACCATGCCACTGTTTCCATGAGCACGAGTTACTTTTCCCCAGATTACTCTGGTTTTGTTTGGTTTGCCACCAGGAGTCACTGTGTTGTTCTTTGCTTTGTACACATAAGCACATCTCTTGCCTAGATAGAATTCCGTTTCATCTCGAGCATAAACAGTTTCGATTTTAAGAAGAGCTGTGTGCTCCCTCTGGTTCCGGAGACCTTGCTTATAGCCAGCAAAAATGGCCTTGGACCACAGCCTTCCAAACGTTATTTGGCGTTATAGGAGTCCTGTTCCCAGCAGGCCTCCACAGACTCCAAGATGGTGGAAAAAGCCATATCCCTTCTTCAATAGACAGGTGCAAGTTTGTTTTTTAGGGCTCCTAGGCCTCTCTCTTATACCTCAGAGAAAATAAAAGAACATGAAGGACCCCAAAAGAGGAATTTTTTAGTCTAGTGAAACAAAAGCCTTTATAGCTTAAAAGTTCTTATGTTCCTCACTTAATTTTTTTTTTTTTCTGGGCATATACCATAAACGATAGAAAAAGTAGGTTGAGTACGTGACATTGTAGGAAGAGGTAGAATAAAAAGTCAGAAAAAGGAGCATTCTGAGCCTTTCAATGAAAACTTCTCATTAAGGTTTTAGGTAATTAGCTAAAACCCACCATAGAATACTGCAATATTCCAAAGGAACGAAAACATAAATGGGAACCCCCAAAGGATATTCACTTCTAGGACTCTGACATAGAGAATGCTGTTTACTCCTTCAATAACAGCATCTTATAAAGAAGCATAAACCTTTTGAGAAGCTGCCACCTTCTCATGTTTCTACTAACACTACAGAGATGTCAGTGAACTTCACTGAAGAGGACCTGGTTGGGTCAGAAAGGAGTTACTTATGTCATTTCTTTTGTGGATCCAAAACGGTGTAGTTTAAAAAATAAAAGAAGCCAAGATTTGCACAGTGGCCTCTAATAGTTCTCTTATTTTAAAATCTCCCTCTAGAAGGATGCTTTAATAGTAAATAAATGCATTTCAGTTTTCAGTTCATGGAAATATGTTGCATCTCTAGTAAAGCACTATGCAGATGTTAGTTAATACTAATGTGACAAAGTTCTGGCTTGGTGCTCTAGAAGATAACAGCTCTGCCTTCAAGGATTCAGAGCAAACACACTACTGCTCCAGGCAGTTTCCATTTTTCCAGCCCCTTCTATGTTTTCCCAATATGGGAAAACTACTTTCTAAATTGTCTTCCTGATGTCCCTATACAGTAAGGGTCTTGTTTCCATTGTATAGATAGAGAACCTGAGACTATGTGAAGTTAAACCAGACCCATGAAAGACAACTTTAAACCTCAGCAGCTCTCCTCACTTCCCACCTCTCCTTCTCTGCCGATTACCTAATGGACGTTATAGACATGTACGTAACTGTGCTTTTGAGGCAGTTGTGTGTTAAATGCTGTAATAGTGATACCAGATGCTATAGAAACACTGATACAGGGAAAAATTAAAAAGTGTGCTGACTGTGGAGATCAGATTATTCCTGTGTAGGAGAAGGATTAGTGTTGGACCCTGATGGCCGGATTTGATTCCGGTAAATGAAGATCCCTTCAGCTATGGAAAGAGGGTAGGCTCTGTGAGACAGTCAGTTGGAAATGTGAATTGAGAGGATCATGCTCGTGATGTCTGATATTGCTGAGCTTATCATTGTTGCTGAAGAGATGACACAAGCTGTGGTAAGAAATATGGTCTCCAAGTTGGAGTGCATCAAGAACACAGAAGTAGGGGTGTGTGGCAGGAAGTAGAGCAAGACATGGTGGTGAAGGAGACTCAGAGGGGATTTGTAGACATAGAGGAGAATCTGGAGATAGGACTGATTCTTCTGAAAGACTGACATAAGGGCAAGGGACGAACAAAGTATTATGTTCTCTATACAGAGTCTGGTACACAGTAAATACCCATGAACTATTATGGTATGTCTGTATTCTTAACATCCAACATCTGGCACATGGTTTCCTCTCATGATACCACTTTTCTGTGGAAGGAAGGTGTACATAGATATTTTACATGAATTCAGTTGGAGTGGTCAAATATCTGGATTTTCAAGAATGGGCAAGAGATTGTGCAAATTAGATGAGAAGAGAAGAACACGTCAATGTAGACTTTTTCTTTTAGTAGGGCCGTAGCCTTAGAGGTTAGGGAGGCTCTGGCAGATGCACATTTTGATGTTGGATATACCTTTGATGAAGTCTCATCTGTGGGACAAGTGAGGAGAAATGTAAGCTGCTTGTTAGCTATTTGAAAATATATACTCATACCCAGAGTGACCAATAAATATACTCTGCTCTTCATCTTGTTCGGGTCAGTATTTTTGTTACCTGAATGGAGATATGAAAAAAATGTGACAACCAAGCAGAAGTCAGATTTGTTTTTTTTTTTAAGAGTTTATTTGACAGAGAGAGAGCAAGACAGCATGAGCAAGAGAGCACAAGCAAGCGGCAGAGGGAGAGGGACGAGCGGACTCTCCGATGAGCAGGGAGCCCGATGTGATGTGGGGACCCTGGGATCATGACCTA